TTTAGAGAAGGAAACAATCCAGTCAACACAGAACATTATATTTATGTTAAAATTCACTCAACAATATAAATGTAATATAACACACATGGTGTTGAGTGCGAAATTTTAATATAAATGTAATGTAACTAATGCTCTGTGTCGACTGGGAATTACCGCCCGCTCTTTTTATGAATTACGAATGTAACAAGAGATAATATTTCGGATAATAATTAGAAGATGCAATTTTTTACAAAAATATGTATAGAAATGCATATGTACAGAAAAATCATGTGCTGTTGAACGAGGTGTAAGTTTGTGCGCGATGCCATGTTTCTCAAATCAAACCCGCAATTATAGGCGTACCACAGACACGAACCGCCAGTAAATGGGCGTAGAACGGGCACGCACCAAATAGAGACTTTACCGGCAGCGTCTGCAAATGGGTGTAGTCAACGTAGTTCCCGGTTACAAATGGGCGCAGATGGCGTTAAAATCACCCATCAAAATGCATGTCGCCAAAAACGCCGGCGTGGCCGCTCTCAGGCTTCTTTCTGGTTGGGATGCCCCCGGCATAAAACAGATTGCATATTTTCCACGAAAAAATTGGCCAATCACAATCGATTATTCTTCGACTGCAAGGAGAATAATCGACTGCGATTGGTCAATTTTCTTACGACTTTTCGATTACTAATCTTCGCGGTTGTCGCCTGTCGCTAATACAAATTTGCACTTTACCGCCGGCGGCCAAGTTCCCGACTCGGCTTTACTCGGTCGAGCAGTTTTGCGAAGTTCCTCAGGAGATGGCGCCTGAGTCTACTTGCAACCGCCAAACGATTCGGCAAAATGGTGGCAGAGCGGCAACGACGCGGTGGAGCACAATTGATAAGATAATTTTAATTTATGCGGTAAGCTCGGGCTTTTACCAACGTTATCTTGTTATACTTAGATCCTATTATTTGCGATATTATTATGTAGATTATAAGTTCGGGTTATCAATTTGTAGAACGCTTTCGCTGCTTTGCGTAAAGTTCCGAAAACCACCCACGACCGATTAACGTAAATTTCCATGAAAATAATCCATGTAATCTCAAATGAATGCTTTTCAACGAATTTTCAGCGACAAGGGAGTTTAATCCCAAAGAGGGGAATTAACTTTATATATCGTTGATAATAATACGTTGAAAAGTTCGTCTACTGTGATCATATATTTGTCGCCGTTGAAGCGTAGGGAAAGATGTCGCCGTGTTTATGAGTAAATTAAAATCTCCTCACTTTCGAATCCGCGAGAAACAGTTAAGCATGTTTCACATATGGCATCACATTTATCCTTTATAAGGACTAAGTTAAACTCCAATAAAAACCAAGTTAAGTGTCAATTGAAATCTTATTTGCTCCAAATATAAAATTAAATTTAGACTCACAGTCTTGGTTAGATGTATATTAAATATTAATATCATCTATACAGGGTGTCCAGAATCTTTTGGAAACAAAGAATTGTGAAGATTAATCAGATCAAACTGAGAAAAAAAGTCATGTACCATTTTGCAAATAAGTATACAAATTTCAAGTTATCAATTAAAACAGTCTCTAGATGTGGCTATTTTCAGTTATTAATAACTTAATAACTACTCAATCAGTAGACAATATTTTTTTAATGTTTTTCAAATATTTATTTTACATTTTTATACATTTCTTCTATTCATTGTACAAAAAGTATTTATTTAACATTTATTTAATATATATTTTATATTAACTCTTCATTTAAAATTATGTTTTAAAAAAATTTTTATTTAACGTTTATTTTAATTCTTTATTTAAAATAATGGCTAAGAAGAAATATTTATTTAACATTTATTTAATGTTATTTAATATTTATTATTTAATATTTATTTTACATTAATAACTTGTTTAAAATTATTTTTAACATTTTAAAAATGTTTTTTAAGGGTTTTGTTAATATTTTTGAAAACATTTTTTAAATATTTTTTTTCTGATTGAGTATTGCGGTTTTTGCAAAATGGAACTTGACTTTTCTTCTCAGTTTGATCTGATAAATCTTCACAATTTTTCGTCTCTAAAAGATCCCGGATATCCTATATATAAAGGACAAATATAAATCATATTTAAAACATATTTAACTGTTTTTCGTGGGTAGATATAAGCAATTGCGACACGTGCATTAATTCTTCGCTGCTCTTCCAGCTCGCGCGGTAATTGCCACTGAGAGGTAATTAGTAAATTTCGCAAACTGTCGCTACGTGGCGGAAAGAGAAGAAACAGAAACGAAAGGTTCCGCTTAGCTGCGCTGCTGTATTTGGTTACAGTCGTTTCTTCGAAAAAAGATGCAAAGCGGTAAGGGGAACAAGCACAAATTTCAGCTTGATACAAATATTATTTATCTCATATAAACTATAAATAATATAATATAATATATAAATGTAAATAATATATATAATATTTATATTTATATATATAATATATATATATATAAATATAAATAATATAATAAAATATCCCACGTCTATTTTACTCCTTTATGACCGTACTTTCACTATCCTCACTCAAAAAAAGATCTTGATTTAATCATTAGAACCATCTTGTGCAAAGAGAAAGAAAGAGATGGTGATATAGCACATGAGGAGAGAGTGAAGTAAAGTGGAGGGGGAAGGCAGGGTGCGAAGAACATGTGATATATTTTTATCGAGCGATTTAGGCGCTAATAATTCGGGGGTTGCGTCTCAGAAGGCAGATGTGAGTTTTGCAGATGGTCGACCACCCACCCCGTGCACCCCGGACGCGGACGGTTCACAATTGTGCTCGAGGCCGGGTCGCAGCGTGCGTGCCGCGAAACGACCGATAAAGAATCGAACTCGGGGAAAGTCAGTGGACAATGCGCGCGACCGAGAGGTGAACCGGGACTCCCCTCACCCCGTGATCGTACCTCTTCGCCGGCATTGTGCGGCCAGGCGGGGAAGCGCTCTTGAACGTAAGGTCTCTTTCAGGCTACAGTCGAATAAAGACGCGCCCGTTGTCGGACGGGAGCTAATCGCGATGTGTTCCGCCTCCCCGACGTCACGCTTCGATTCCGGAAGATCCCGGAATCACCGCGCGGCCATGACATCTTTATTCGTCCTGACTCGTCCCCGATGGGATTAAATAATAACTCTCCCTCTCTTTCTCTCTCTCTCTCTCTCTCTTACAAATAGCGGTTGCTTGATTAGGGGTACGAGAGACGTCTTTAAGCTATTGAAGACACTTTAGACTCTTTTCACCCGACTGAACGTCAGCAAAGTTTTTGCCGAGCTTTTAAATTGTTTCTCCGTGCGAAATTCTTTCGTGCGAAAATCAACCCCTTCCTTTCTCCACTTAAGAGAGGAGTCTTTTTTCCTTGTTCGATATAATCTAAAAATAGACGCTCATTCTGTTTTATTATACGTGATCAAAAAAAGATTCTTGATACGTGATGCAAAGAGATTATTACAATTTTCTTATCATATATGCATTACTGATTTATTGCTTATTGAATATTCGAAGAAGAAGGGATACGTCAAAGTAGTAGTAGTAATAATTTTATGTTAATGTTTACAAACAAATGTATACGACTGGAAATTATTGACAATCTAATTCAAATTATATTGTGCTAAATAAAAAAAAAAATATCAATCGAAACACAACTCAAAGAGCGTTAAGCACATGATTTTCCAGGCAAATTTTTTTGTGTTCAGTTTCCCGTTTGTGTTTATGCGAAACAAACCCCAAATTTGGATCCAAGGAGATAACCTTGAAGATTCGACACATAGCTGGCCATATTTGTTATCTTGTTTGCTCAACAAGTGGATTGTCACGCTGTTTTTCACACGTGAGTCTAAAACTTACTAAAGTTCAAATAAATAAATTTATGATAAATATTTTTTTCCTGAAGCTTGCATTCGCGCTCAACTACTTCCTTCAGCTGCCTTTTCTTATAATACTTAATTCATCAGGTGCAAGCAGTCACGGTTTGCGCGCAAATTAATGAGACGCAGCGAAATCATAGCGCCGGCTGATGACCTCCGTAGCATCCAATATGTTCACCCTTCAACTTCCAGAGGTGACATTACTTGCATAATCTCATTAAAATGATGTGCGTGGCGAAAGTTCCGGAACGGCAAATTATCTCGGAAGGTATTGGTTTATTTAACCCTTAAGAGTTACCATCAAATATCAGCACAAGTTAACTTTTCTTGTTATTATTTATTTATAGCAAAGTATATGCGATGTTGTCACTGCTAATAGTATAAATAAATATCTATAAAATCAGCATTGTCAGTGCGATTACGTTTTTCAATAGAATCAGAAATTCGCATGAGAGGATCCATAGTAGCCTTTAAGGGTTAAAGTGTTTGAGTCAAAAGTGGTGGAGTTTAAAAAAGTCTATTAGATTTTGATATTTTTTTAACCTCGGGATGGCCTTGAAAAACGTCATCAAGATCAACGAAATCTTAAAAATCGAGGAAAAATTTACACCACTTCAAGCAGTTAATTTAATCTACAACACTACAAGTGTGTAAAATGTTGAAATCTTTCTTTTCATGTCGTAGGCATCCGCGTTTATATCTTGTACAGATTGCGTTGGGACTCATCTGTAGCCAAAACAAAATGCCAGGAAGAGACTCTCTACGCATCTCATTCAAATTTTGCCGGAAAAACTTCCCAGTCACCTGAGCACAGGACTGCGCGGTACGTACGATAAGAAGAGCGCAGCATCACGTCGGTGTCTTGCCGACGGGTTGCTGATGAATGACAGGGAGGCTAATTTTTCACGCGGCGCCTCAGTGCGCGCACGCATCGAGCCTCCCACCGCTGGGTCCTTTAGTTTCGAAGGATTTAGCGTGGTGGAGATCCGGCCGAGCTAGATGCTGAGCAACAGATACCCGCTAACAGGCATCCGCGTAACTCTCTGTCACGCGAGCATATTCTCGGGCCTTGAAATAATATATGCCTATGAATTTCTCTCAGCTGCAGGCGGGAGCGCTTTATTGCACCGGCGCACGGACGCACATGCACTCCTCCCCGAAAGTCGCCCACATTTTCCCACCGGACCGCAACCTGCCCCGGCCCGGCGCTGAGGCCTGAGTGCGTCGCGACGCACACCGACTTCCCCGAGGGCTCGCGCTCCGTCGCCAGCGTGCGCCCGGTGAGAAATCTCGCCGGGCCCGGCGAGGGGATCCCAGTGGGGCACTAGAGCCACCGAGTCGGGGCGCTGTGTAAATCTACGAGGCACGAGACCCTCGCAGCGGGGTTCGGCCTGATTCCGAAGGTACACACGGAGAAATGGGAATGTCAGTTTCTCTCCCCCGGCTGCTCGCCGACCCCCGCTGGATACGAGGGGGACGACCAAGGGGGAAGAGCCCCAGGAGTGGGGCCGAGGCTATATAGTCTTGGGGTAGGTCACCGATGAAACGAGTCATCCGAGGAGAAGGCGCGCCACACGCTCGCCGTCCGAGTGCGCGACGCAAGGACGAAGTCACGCCGAGTGTGTCCTAAACAGTCCCGCGGGCCCATGCGGGGGAGAAAGAAGCGCGGACGCTGCCAAGTGTGTGCGCGAATTCTCCCTCAGCGTTGCTTCACACACGACGGAGGACACCATGAAGTCGGCTGCGTTCACCGTCGTCGTCCTCGTCGTCGGTATGCTGTCGACGAGTAAGTATCAGTGCGCGGTGTGCGACGTGCATGCGAAATGCAATCGGGGCCGGGGATCGCGAGGACCCTCGCTACTACGTTTGCGAGTATCTTGTGGATACAAGGAAATCATACAGGCCGGCTTATCGCTCACCGATTTACAGTGTTTATGCGACAAACGATGTCATGAAGAAGATGTTTGCTCTTTGACCCCGGCTATCGGCTGCTGTTGCGGCACCAACGGTCCAGAGAAAATGTTTATACATGGTGTTCGGGATCTTTTGGAGACGAAAAATTGTGAAGATCAATCAGATCAAACTGAGAAGAAAAGTCAAATACCATTTTGCAAAAATCGCTATACCCAATCAGAAAAAAATTTTTTTTAATATTTTTAAAAATATTAATAAAACATTTAAAGAACATTTTTAAAATGTTAAAATAATTTTAAACGAGTTATTAATGCAAAATAAATATTAAATAAACATTAAATAAACGTTAGATAAATATTTCTTCTTAGTCATTATTTTAAATAAAGAATTAAAATAAAGAGTTAAATAAATATTTTTTTTTTAATATTTTAAATGAAGAATTAATGTAAAATATACATTAAATAAATATTTTTTGTACAATGAATGGAAGAAATGGGAAAAAAATATAAAATAAATATTTAAAAAATGTTAAAAATATATTGTCTATTGATTGAGTAGGTATTAAATTATTAATGATTGAAAATGACCATATCTAGAGGCTGTTTTAATTGATACTTGAAAACTTACATACTTATTTGCGTACTTATTTACAAAATAGTAAAGGACGTTTTGGTTCAGAATGACTTAATCTACAATTATATGACGTCTATAGTATCTAGTAATAGATATGAGTAAATTGAACTTTGAACTCTGACTCTTGAATCTGTCGCTAGGCAGAATAGCCATTGTATCATTGTAAATTAGGTCATTCTGAACAAAAATGTTCTTCACCACTTTGCAAATAAGTACGCAAATTTTCAAGTTATCAATTAAAAGAGTTTCTAGATGTGGTCCTTTTCATTAATAACTTAATAACTATTGCGATTTTTGCAAAATGGTACTTGACTTTTTTTCTCAATTTGATCTGATGAATCTGCACAATTTTTCGTTTCCGAAAGATCCCGGACACCCTGTATATAATTATGTGAAATTATGTATTTATATACTACTGTGACTATACAGGATCTGTATGTGAATATTGACTCCATGTGTACAATTATATGCAATTATTTATGTGCATATACGGATTAAATGCTGCTGAATGGATAAACGAAGAAAATAATTTGATTTAGTTCTAGATCTTTTTTTCAATATCGTGTTTGTACTACAAATTGTACGACAGCATTCTTCTTGTGAACAACCATGTATCAAAGTATATGGAGAAACAAAATTCATATATAATCGCCATTTTCTTCCCGAAGGGATAATACTAAAGACGTAATTTTTCGCAAGTACCGTTTGTGTCGAAATAGAATAAAATACATTAGATGTTTATATAAAATTGCGTTTCTGCAGGCATCATCTGTGCTGATTAGACGGGAAGTTAGCGAAACGAGCAACATTTTTCTGTCCCGCACGGCCAATGATTTTTAGCATTAGCTCGATGATGAGAGTTTTTAGGAGAGAACGAGACTCGTTGGAGCCTCGTGTATTTGGTAAAGAGGAAGTTGCACATGTGCGCAAGACAGAGCACGCGAACTGCACGTGTGCATCGCGCCGAGGACGCGGTATTAATCAACGATGTAACATGACAGATGTAAAACATTACGGACATAGGGTACGCTTCGACGATCGTTTTGTGCGTCCTGGGAAAAAATCTCTTGGGCGCCCCAGAAGTGCTCCTTGGTCGCTGAAAAACACAGTCACGCGACGGACATGTGAAGAGTATTCCGTAAAGTACAAGTATCGATGTGTCTGAACGTTCTCAACATTTGCTGCTTCAGCCTTCGAACAAGACAGATTAAAGTTTTTCAACCACAGACATATTTCCACGAATTTAACAAGTTTAGAAGAACTGTTCAACCCTGAGAAATAACGAATCATCATAAAAGTGTAAAATCGAGTCTTGAATTTTACAAGAACAAATCACAATGTTTTAGTTGAAATTAAGTGCAAGACGCACTTTTTTAATTTGTCGACTCTGTTAAAAATTCACTGAGCGAAGCGGGAAATGTCCAATTGATTTTATTGATGTTTTTTCACTTACTTGGTCTCTTTGAAGATTACATTCAAATTAATTATTAATTAATTTATCTTTACTCTCAGATTCTTAATATACTTTTAAATAATTCCCTTTATGATTAGGTTTCACATTTTTTTCGCAACTGTCCAGAAATCGATACAATCACCTTGCTTGCAGTTTCGTCCAAAGCACAGCTGTGGGATCTAACGAATAAAAAGCAATTTCTCGCCGCGGCCTTAACAACTTCTTCAGCTATTTCCTCCCGAGTGCGCCCGATAAGAATCGTTGAGCTATGCATCGCGATCGTACCGACGTCGTCGCCGTCGCCGGCATGCCGTCGCATTACCAATCGCTGTCGAAGTCTCAACGCACTGCTGGAATACCAATCGCAACAATAACACGCAAGCAATAAGAGAGGAACGTCGCGGGAGACGCCGCGTGCCAATTGAATACTAAACAGTCGTGAGACCGCACCGAACTATTCCCCGCGTCGTTTGATTTCTTCATACAATTAGCAATTTCCTATTGCGGTCTGCGTCTGCACCGGCCGGCACGCGATGGCATTCCGTCGCGTTGCGTTGCGTGCGCTCGCGGGGGTCAACCCCTTCATTCCGCGCGCGCTCGAGCAAGCAGGGTTGCTTATCGAAAGGTTTGAGAAGCTTGTGAAAATCTTATTGTTCCGTCTAATTATAAAAGATTAGAGTTGATTGCGAAAAAGCAATTCATTATCGTCACTCAACAAAACATTAACAACAACAATGGGAAATGAAGCAAAACAATAAGATATTCAAGTAATTGCAATATCGTGTGGTGAAAAGTCAAACTTGGCCAACATTTTTGCACGAATATCCAACAATTTCGGCTATATATTTTCGCATGGTCCAAACTTAGAAAGATCCCGACTGGAAATTTTGACCGGGTCAATATTGTGCGAGGACCTAACAGAATGAGTGGAATCAGGTCAGACTTTATAATGTCCTGATGACATTTGAATAAGAAAGACCTTTTCAAGGTTATAATAGTCGGATTCGTATTAGGACTTTGATATATCAGCTTATGTGGCTACAGTCTGAAGTAGAACGTGATAAGGATTCAATAAAATGACTTAACAAGAACCTGACTATGAACTCTTAATAAGGTCTTGATATTATATGCGTTACATGGACTTTACTAAGATTCGATAATATCATCTTATCCTGATGACTAAACGCGATCAACCCGATCAGGACCATGGGATAAATTTCTTATGGGGATTTTGTTGCAATTTCTGCACAACATTTTCCCCGTGTGTGTACATCTCACACTGTCTGTCTGACCGGAAATTGAATATCCTGGAGGGATTCAGCCTTTTAGCCATTAAACGTGCAGTGCAAATAAAGACACAATCAATGAGTCCATCATCTTCTTGCTGTTCCACAACAGACCCGAAGTCCGCGCCGGGACGCTCCTCCGAGAGTTCTCTTGTCACTTGCCAAAGCGTCTAATCGATTCCTGTCGCGCCGGACGAATGCCTCGACACAAAGATTAGCCTGTCGCCATGGCAGCGAGTACGCTCGCTCTGGGCGAGCGTGCTCGATCATCCGAGTCCAGGTAACACGTCGGGGTCTTATCGATGGTCGCGTCGTCCAGCCGGGAATAATGCAATATGGGTGAACGCATCCGTCTTTTCCCCCGTCGCTTGTCCATTCGACTTCGAAATCTTGGACAAATTCGCAGCGGGTGGCCCTATCTTTTTTCTAGGCGGGCCCACGTCTCGCTCGTGCCCTGCGAAGCCCGCCTGATGTCCTGCGTGTGTCCTCGTTTCTACCGTTATGGCTGTTCATCTCTCCGTAAAGAAACACGCTTATGGGTCCATCACCGTTTCATTCATTGCCATTGCTGCTCTTTCTCTTCAGCCTTGGGGAAACCCAACCCATTAACAAATCCTCCGTCATTCATCGAGCTAATGCACCGTGCGATGTTTCTGTTACAGCCGGAACAAGCCAGACCTCGTCCTGGGGCCTTGAGAACGTACGCTCCTTCGAGCAGTGCGAAGTCACTTTCAACGAGATCGAAAAGGAGGACCGCGCCACCATCGTCAACGACAGCAGCTCTAGATTACACGCCACTTGGTTGTCTCAAGAGTAATTGTTGTTTCGTCTCGCGATACTGTTGCAAAAAAGCACTATCTATTTAAATGTCTTGGAAAATATAAAAGCATTATCTAATTCAATATTTTGAAAAATATAAAGGATATGGGAAAACGTTTCAGAAGTTATTTGGCAATTTTAAAATATCCAAAAGTCAACGAGTTGACACAAGTTGGAGCACTATTGTAAGTAACAGTGTATATTCTTGAGACCAAATAGAATAAAAAAATCTAGTATCACTTTTTCTTCCGACAAATTATTATCGAGATATCGTGAGCTTGAAAAAGTTATCAAGTTGAAGTCCTTGAATATCTCAAAAAAATATTAGGCAAATAAAAAAAATGTTTTAGATAAAAGTTGTTCAAATTAATTCGTAGAAAAAGATGATATAATAAAAAATTAGGGTTTCCATCTAAGAAAATGAGTGAATATCTTGGAAGTGGCACTATCTGTAAATAAAATGATACAGTTGTTTTATGTCTCCCTTCAAATCAAACAATTTTTGTTTGAAATGTTTCTCCATATCTTTTATATTTTTCGAGATATTTGAGTAGATAAATTAAAATGAGCCACCTTGTATATGTAAATTATATAATATTTATTCTATATAATTACATATATATAATAATATTTGTGTTATATATTTTATATTAATATTTTTATATTATTATACTTTTGATAGTATTGTTAATACAGAATAATGTAAAATATGATGAAAAATATTAAATATTACTAGATGTATTCAAAATAATTTAATAAAATAATTTAGAAGAATATTTCTAATATATAATTAGAGGTGCATAACTGTACACGAAATGTTATATAATTATATACAATCTTGTTTGATCGGCCGTTCTTCTCTTGCAGATGCGAAGTTCGCGCCGGCCCGGAGTACATAATTAGGAAATACACGTTCTTCGAGAACGGCACGTTTTTACTGTTGCGTTATCATTACGACGACATGTCGTGCAGTATGCCGACGCACACTGTCAGTATTCGAGGTTCCATCAAATTACTGGGACCATCCAGCGTCGTTTCCGGCGCGACCGAGACGAAGTTTTACATCAACGCCGTTCACATTATACCTTTAAATCGACAGGTAATTGTCTCCGTTTTGTACTGTCCATCTTTCTGATTTCTTTTTATTTAATTCTAATTCAAATCCGGACTCTGAAACCAAATCTTCACAATTATGGTATTTAAATTTGGACACAAACAGCTCGGATTATCCGGATTATCCAAATAACGCGGTTTCCAGTTTTTCAGATCAATAAAGATAACGATAATGAGCAATGAAGATAAAAGAATGCTATCAGCACAGAAGCGTTCAAAGCAGACATAGACGTATAACAAAACACAAAACAACTTCTTCTTTGCTTCATTTAGGCGTTTTTTCAACGTAGTCATATATAATTTTATATGATTATTTATATGACAAAATTTATGTGTGGACCGTGTCATCACAAAAACGTGTAATTATATATGATTTTACATAATTATATGTAATTATATACAAGCTTTTCTGACTGGGAGGCGGTGAACTGCTGTTTGATGACGCAAGTTATTCTCCCTGGCTATCTCTCTCTACGCAAGTTATAGATGAGAGTCACTGTAGTTTTCGTCCTGAATACTCACTTAATAGGGAGCCGCTGGCCATCGGTAGCATATGGTTGCAGAAAAGACTAATTGCAAACTTATCTCTTCTTCAGGTCGCTCACAAATTCGAACAAAAGATGAATACGACCTGCGGTCCTCAGCCGAGATGGCGACCCTACGTATCCCGCTTGATTTATGAACAACTGCGACAGCATTCAGCGACGCAACCGTGGCACAGTCCGGTTTACAATTCCCTGCAAACTTATTCACTTTCGAAGAAACGTCTCGGTATGGATTGCTTGGACACGTTCAAGATAGGATTTGGCGAGCTGAAGTTGCTGAGGGTGCAGAAGAGGTTGTTCCTGTCGAAGACGTTCGGCGGCCTTTCCTACCACGGCCGTCGTCTCGAACTTCTCCTAGCTAGTCCTGCGCCCAATGTGTCCTCCCGCAGGACTTACAAAGCGACCTCGTTACAGCCCACGTTGCTGGTCCACACCAACACGGTATGTCCGCCGAGGTTTCTTGCGGGTTATTTTGATCCTTAATGCATATATAACTAATATTAGCAATATTTAGTTACACCCTCATTAAGACGGACAAGAAAGTTTCCTTGTAAAAGTTGTTGCTTGTTATCAATCGAAACCGGGTAAATAAATGTACTCAAGAGTGACCCCATAAATGAAAGTCAGGTGTGAATTTAATAATTTAAATAAATATTATTGTAATATTATTATACCTTATGTTAACGTCGAAATTAATTTTTTTAATCTTGACTCGGTATTAACTTTTTAACTAAACATTTTAGCTACTACGTTTATAGGAATTTTTTTTGTTTGCTTGATGAGAAGAATATAATTACATATGGCTCATTTTTTTCTAAACACCCTGCATAACTATATATAAAATCATATATAAGTATATAGAAGTAATACATTTTTTATTATATATCACTCATATACGAATTTTGTTTCTATATAGACACGTTATGATAATTAATATGTAATTATACATGTCCATATGGGAGAAACGCTGTTAAGTGAAGAAAAGAAGAAATAGTCTCGTGCTCGAGCAGTTACTTCAATTACGTACAACAGCGTTTTTTTCAGTGTAGACATGTATAATTATTTTTCATCGAGCGGTTTGTGACTTTTTATTAAACTCCTATAAGCGCGTTTACGTAACGAGATGAGTGACAAAGTTAATTAACAGGTGAATGTTGTTTTTGCAGACGGGCGACTGTCCAATATGCGGCAGCATATCTCGGGCGACCGAGTTGAGCCCACCTCTCCTTCACGTGATGGTGCCGCTGCCCGCGCTGATCGGCGGCTACTGGCTGAGCGAGAGATGCGAGAGCTCCGAGGGTGGCATCTGGTTCAGGCGGCAACTCCAGGTATACTCGGGGGACAAACTGTGGACCGGCCAATGGGAGTACTACGAGGATCCGCTGTGCTCGATGTTCTTGTACGCCATCACCGCGGCCGGAAGTTACATACAGCGGCCCGGAAGAGAACGTCGTCATGAGCAGCTCGACGGAGAGACGTTCGCTTCCGGTTACTTCCAGCCCGTCGACGTCTCCGCGAGGCTCTTCTTCAAGAGGAGCGCGCGCGATGTCTCCAGCAGCTCCCAGAGCGGTCCCAACCAACGTGATACCGCGGATGAAGGTTTCTCATCGAAAACCGAGGAGGAATCGTCCACGCGTGCGGACACAGAGACTCTAAGAACGAAGGACAAGAAGGCAAAGAGGCCGAAGAAGCTGAAGAGATGGTTGACAGACAACGTCTATCAGTTCTTGCTCGACGTGCAGCCTTCCCCGGCTGAGTCGAGGTTCAAGGCGATGCTGCGAGGCCACCAGACACACGAGACCACCAGCAAGAAGCCCGTGGCCTGGAACGTGCCGTCCGGAAGCACGGAACTGGACCTGCACATCGCCGAGAGCAGCCTCATCCCTGGCGACGCGACGGTGGCCAACCGCTGCGACGCCTACCGAGCGAACATGCCGCTCACCAGCTGGCCGAGGAACTGCGTTCCCCGAGTAATCGAGGCGCCCTCGACCCTGGGGCTGCGCGCCAAGATGGGCGTTAACTGGAACGGCCAGTATATCTTGCTGCTGGGCTTGAGGGACGACAATGTGTGGGACGCTCCTCTGCGACAATGCGCGCAGATCCCGACGCATAATCCCACGCTGAGGACACATCTCAGGCGAAGCGTCGGCCTCCGCTTCGGGTTACTCTCCGCTGCTGCGTCGGCCAGCCACGTGTCCGTCGTTTGGCTTCTCGTGTCGCAACTCCTCCTCTTGTATCGTTTTCTTTATCGCATGCGGTGATGATAACGGGCCTCGCCGAAAAATTCTGAAATATGAGTACTATTTCTATATTTGCCGAGGCTATTTTTGCGTCTTATGTGTCTTATACACGCGTAGGGTCCCATGGGGCGTAATAAAAGTCTGTACATGTGTAAATAGAGCCGGAGTCGGCGATTGCGGCGTAATCGCGATTCGCAGCCGATCCCATCTTAAAGATAGGACTTGGGAAGCGACGTTATGCGCGACTTGCGTGATCGTTATTCACAAATTACCTCTTCTTCTCTCGCGACGACTTGGTAGCTCTTGGTTCCCGTCTCTGATGACGACGGTGATGCGATAGCATCTCTCGAGCAAGAATGATGAATGTAATCGTTACTTCGTACAGGTAGAGTGTATATAAAAATGGCTCGTCCAAGCTTGCTGCATGGCATTATAAAAGATGTAACGGATAACTTCTTCAATGCGTTGCTCTTAAAAAGTAACTTTCCCATCCTTGCCCCTTCGACGTATGTTTAAAGCAACATGTCGATACGTTCGCAAAGATATAACTTGAACAAATTGCCAGCGGGGGAAAGTGCCCGGTGATTGTATTGTTAGTTCAACGTATAGCATTTTGCTGTGTATTAAAACTGTATATATACTCGTGTCTTTAGGTTTAACAATAATTTAAGTCTCCGCTTTACGATTGAATTTGCGATTGATGTGTGCGACACGCAGAACGGCTGACGAAATTCCAATTAATAATTCCTGACGATTAAACGGCAGAATTATCAACGGCAGTTTTCAGCTATATTATTCGTTGTCCGAAAGAGTTAATAAATCAAGGTACATTGACAAAACGGAACAAATAATGTTAGACTCTTCTTTATTTTGAAATGAAATGAATGTTATGATGAGAGAAAAATGATCATATTTAATTACGTGAAATTACATATAAATTTATATGTAATTATACATAATTTTTTTCAGGAGCTCTTTAAACAGAATTTTACGAAAACGAATTCCTTTCCGCTGGAAGCCGATGGAATTGTGATGAGAGAACTTTATAAATTATTTCTGTGTCAAGATGAAGACGAAGACGATTACACAAAAAACGCACGGAGAAAATATTACACAGTGAAAGTCAAGTTGAAATTACACTTCTTTTTACAATATTTTTGTAAATTTGGACTATATCGGTATAGCGATAAAAGTTACTGTAGAAATAATGAACGACAGAAAAATATTAAAGTAAACACTGTGTAATATTTTTCACAAATATACAATAACTTTTCCTCGGTTAAATTTTTATCATCGACATGCGACGTCGGCTATTGCAGTACTTAAAACTCCGTTCCGTTTTTTTTTTCTGTTTCACAGAGTGCATCGGCAACAATTCGTGAAAACAGAACGCTTATATTACTGCACTGCGATGACGTCACGTTTGCAGTGCTGGCAGTAAGTTACGGAACGCAGTAACAATTTGTCAGGAAGACAGCAGTGTAGTGCAAGCATAAGTGCAACAGTGGACTGCAGATTAGAATCGACTTATTGGATAATCACTTTGGCGCAAAAACCTCGAAAAAGTGACGGTATTTATCAGCGCTCTTATGGGGCCGCATCAGTAAAACGTCATGCCGTTTCATTTAGCTTTGCGTAACTTGAAAGATGTACAGCCGAATAAAATGTCAAGTAACAAACAAAATGCTCAATTGCACATATATTCGTGAGTATAATACGCTCAAGTTTAAAAACAATGAAGAAACATGTCTAATCAAGTGCTAAAATGTACCTTGAGGAGCATTTCGAAATGTTCGAAAGTAAAAACGCGTTATAAAAAGTGCTCGCTATTGTATATTGATATATTAGCGTCACCGCGCTGACGGCGAATTACTAAACAAATGATTCCACAAGTAATAGCTGAAATTCGCTACTTGATAACGGAGATGTTGAGAGTGGCCATAATACCTACGAGGGCCATAATATCATCTTCTCCTCTATTAATCACTACACACCCCAAGTGTGATTCGACTTTATCAACCCTTACGGAAGAAACACTCAAGAATTTTGAGTATCTACACTCAATTATTCGAATTTACTCTCAAATGCGGGTGTATACATAACATTTGAGAGTAAATTCGAACAATGGAATGTGAGAACTCAATATTTGAGTGTTTCTTTCGTAAGAGAAGTTCCAGCCGTACCTTCCCATGCAGCACAAAACTTGCAGCGATATTGCTTGCAACGTTGCTGCAATATTGCAATGTTGCTGTAATATTGCAATGTTGCTGCAACTTTCGTGCTGTATCGGTTAAACCGCATGTCTGATGCAATTTTTTTTAAGCTCAAGTCACAACCTACTCATACGGTTTACGGTTTTGTTACATCCTTATCTGGATAGCATATCTCGTACGATGTTACAAAGCAAGGCGTCAATAAATTCAATCACATTGTTAGCCGACGAGAGAGAGAGAGAAAGAGAGAGAGAGAGAGGGAGAGAGGGAGAGAGGGAGAGAGAGAGAGAGAGAAAGAGAGAGAGAGAGAGAGAGAGAGAGAGAGAGAGAGAGAGAGAGAGAGAGAGAGAGAGAGAGAGAGAGAGAGAGAGAGAGAGAGAGAGAGAGAGAGAGAGAGAGAGAGAGGCACTCGTCGATCCATCGATCCTCCCTGTCCTTCGCGAGACTAAAAAAATATAGGTCAGATATTGATGCCGTTCGCACAGAATCTCGCGTTATCTCGGAAATCTCTGTGAGTACCGTTTGTTCTATGAACACTCCCGCTGACAATCTGTCGCCTAACAGGATTATCAATGATCAAAGCACACACATTTCGTCAACTGCTCCTCATGATGTTATCGTTGCTAGTTGTAAACTAATTTCTCGGTTAATTTATGTAGCGGATTATGCGAGTTACTGTTCTTGCGAGAGATCAAGCGGACATAACGACTCCACAACGTCATATTTACGCACAGCAGATCGCATTTTACGCACGGTGCTCTTAGTGCGAGGATCGTAGATTCGCGTTGTGGACGAAAGGAAGCGATGGAGAACATCCTGACGACCAGCAGCCCGCTCAATGAAACGGACATCTTCAATCGCTCATCATTCGGATGGCTCGATTACACGTTCTTCTGTTTGGTGCTGCTCAGCAGCCTTGCCATTGGCGTGTACTACGGCTTATTCACCAAGCAGGACACCACGATCGAATACTTGCTCGCTGGCAGACGGATGAAGAACTTTCCCATCGCGATGAGCATTGCTATGAGGTGACTTTGGCGACGGCGGCGCTCTGTGGAGAAATAAGCGTGCCAGGAAGAGCCGATGGGAGGCCAATCCATATAGTGCACAAGTTGCAGCAACGTTGTTACAATATTGCGATATTGTTGCAACATTGCATATATATACAATATATGCAACATATGTGATAATAATATAATAATAAATAAAAAATATATATAATAAAAAAATATATACGGATATATATGCAATGTTGCAACGTTGCGGCAATGTTGCTGCAACTGTTTGTGCTGCGTTGTGGGGCGTTTTTGTGAACTCGTGTCATCGCTCGAGTCTCGAAGACTAAATTGGGAATTATTTGAAACAGTTACATGTGTGATTAATCGAGAAATTGAATTTCAGTTCACTTGAGATGACGTCTGAGTATAAAAAAATATCTAAGAAATCAAAAGAATATATTTGCGTGCTGTATGCTGATAACATACTTCTACAATTTAAATTCTCCCTCTCTAAGGAGAATAAAGAATTGTTTTCGTGAAAAGCTACGATTTTAAGAAACTGCAGTTAATTTGATTGTTAATTTGATAATTTTGAAATTTCTAAAGGTCGATAAGTTAACAAAAGTCAGGGCGCAATTGTAACAATATTTTTGAGACTAAATGGAGTAAAGAAGTCAAGTACCACTTTTTCTTCTAACGAATAGTTAGCGAGATATTGTAAGTTAAATATTGAAGAAGTTATCAAGTTTTTCTTAAATATCTAAAAAAATATTAAGCAAATAGAAAAATGTTTCAGACAAACGTTATTCAAATTAATTGGTGGGAAAAGATGGTGTAGTAACAAATGAACGTTTCTATTTAAGAAAAGTGATGGTCAGTAAATGTCTCGAAAATAACGCCATCTGTAAGCAAAACGATACAGTTATTTTATGTCCCTTTTAAAATCATACAACTGTCTGAAACATTTTTTTTTTAAATGCTTAGTTTTCGAAATATTTCGCTGCCCTGGTATTTTTTGTACATCATGTATATATACTAGATATATGTATAGTAATATAATAAGCCAATGTGTTTTGCTAGCACTCGTCGAATAAATTTGGATTTCGCGTAAGCGAGACCATTTCAAACAACGATTCATACACGTCGTGAGCTTTCACGAACGCATTCTTCGCCAGCTTTCTTATTTTCGCGGGCTTCCTTCCGCACTTGAACTGAACATTTTCTGTTTCAGTAATTTCTCGACAGTCACCATGATCGGTATACCAACGGAGGTCTTCTTACAGGGTACACAATACAGCTCTTTCATATACATGTCGATTATCTCGGTTATAATTATCATTCACATCTTCTTGCCGGTGTTTTACAATCTGCAACTGACCAGCTTGTTCGAGTACCTGGAGCTCAGGTTCAACAAGTCAATCAGGATCCTCTCCTCTCTGCTATTCACTCTCTCGCTCTTCTTGTATGTACCCATCGTTATCTACGGGCCCGCCCTCGTTTTCGCGCAAGTCACCAATCTGGACATACACATAATAATATTAGTGATCTCCATCTCGTGCATCGTGTATACGACCATCGTAAGTAATGCACGGAAAAGCAATCGAGTTTACGTTATTTGATGTATGTGTGTGTATATGTGAATGTGATTGTGCGACTAACTTTAAGTTATACTGTACACTGGATATCCCAGACCTCGCGCGGCTTCGATTCCATCGAGAGATTTTCTGAGTTAATTTTTCCTCAGCGAAAACACGTCGCAGCGCTAATTTCCACGGTAGCGAGAAATAAGGCGAGGCTTTTTGTAAACTAAATTACTAAATTTTAAAAGCTAAACTACGGACGGTCAAGTGAATAACGATATTTTATTCTGTCATCCTCTGATCAATTTTAAACAAACTATGCTTTGAGAGAATTTCACTTTGGGATTTGGTTACAAAAACTGGTATACTGGAAATGGAAGTTATTATGAAAAACGAGACCTCCTTAGAAATTTGCGAGAATGAAAGATTGTCTTCAAATTGCTCAGAGAATCTCTCGGTAAAATTAAATTAGCCAGATGTAGGTCATTCCATATATATATTAATTAATATATATTTTACATTTAATTTATTTTTTATTGTTTATTATATTTACTTTCATATGTTATTATACAATTATGTAATTATACAAGAAGAGATATATATTGATTTGCAATATAAAATATTAAGTTAATAAAATAATAACGATATGTATACAGATTTCAGCCGTAAAGTATTAAATTTGAGAATAAGAAGATGTAATTTTTACTCAATCAGGATTTCACTTTTGATTCTATTTAAACTTTATTGATGCTTATAATCTGCATTTTTCTCACGCATGCGCAACAGGGTGGTTTAAAAGCAGTAGTGTTCTCCGACACTTTACAATTTATGATTTGCCTGATTGGACTTTTTGCTATCATCGAGATGGGATTGGAAACTATTGGCGGCGTTAAAGAAGTATGGAGAATTGCTGACGAAGGCGGCCGTCTGATTTTTTTCAAGTAAGATAAAAGCATGAAGTTTATTCCTACTGTTATCATATACGCACACACATATATATATATATTTATATATACGTATCTAATTTCTAAATTAATTTGCCTAGTATGAATCCAAGTCCATTGGAGAGGAACTCCTTTTGGGCCACAACTTTCGGTATAACGGCAACATGGTTATGTCACATCGGCATTCATCCAGGAATGGTGCAGCGCTATTTGGCGGTACCCACAGAAAAGGACGCTAAATTGTGAGCTTTGCGGCTAATTGCACAAAATACAAAAGCTACACGTTTGATAGTAATTTTACTCTTTTTTTGCCATACAGAAATATAGTAATCAGCTCGCTAGCGATAGTCACCATCCAATTGATCGCTATATTTGTCGGATTAGTCATATTCGCCATGTATCACAATTGCGACCCCATGCTGACAAAGGTAAAACCAGAAAATGTCGGAACTACGCATTTGAAATGCTATATATGCTGATAGCTTGATTTGCAGAAGCAAACTTCAACCGATAATTATATAGAAATGTTACGCACCTCGGAGAATTTTTTAATCTTAATATACAAGGTGAGAAAAAAAGATCCGATCTCCCTGAATAACTTTGAAGATATGCAAGATAAAAAAAATGTTAAACGCAGAAGCTGTAGGATTTTAAGTGAGGCATCACATAGTAGTACTAGTATGACCTTGAACTGCGTCATCATGGTCACGAGAAGGTCACCTTAAATTCTTTGAACAGAAACCTCCACTTTTTATTATGTCATCTTTCTCTACCAATTAATTTCAACAACTTTTGTCTGAAACATTTTTTTATTTGCTTAATATCTTTTGAGAAAAAGATGATATAATAAAAAACAGGGATTTCTATTTAGGATTTTAATGTTGATCTTGATTTGACCTCTAAATTTGATCCCTAGATCAAGTTTAAGTTCACCACTAGATGCCATCTTCAAACCCTGAAGCTTTTGTATTTGATATTTTTTTCAAAAACGTCATCCCCTGAAGTTAATCTAGAGTACTCATCTTTTTGATACACCCTGTATGTTATAAATGGCGGAATTTCGAGTAATCTTAACTTTGCAACTATGTGAAGGTCGCATGCACTTTGTAACACGATTAAAATCAAAGAAACCCGAGATCTTTTCTATATAATTACCCCTCAACTTCACCTATTGTTTCACAATCATGACATATTTTGTTTTGTTGTTCGCAGGCAATAAAATACCCCGATCAGATCCTGTCGTATTACGTAATGGACGTCGCTGGGCATCTGTCTGGACTTCCAGGATTATTCGTAGCAGCTTTGTTGAGCTCCGGGCTTGCGGTTTTGAGCACCAATTTAAACACCATATCCGGTACGATATTCGAAGATTTTATACGCCCGTACCTGTCGAACAACATGAAGAAGGAGCATATTATCCTCAATATAATGAAGGTGAGCCAAAACGCGATGTAACCTTCCCGTCAAATTCCTTTGAGTGCAATTTTACTCCAAAATCAAAGCACAAAAGCAACAAGAGCCAAGTTGCAGAGCCAAGTTTACTCTGGAAGTTTGCATTTTTCTAATGCATTTTTCTAATAACAATTTCTAATAACATTTTTCTAATGCATTTTTCTAATAACAACTTTCGGCATTAGAACCTCGATTTCCTTGCCGCAGCCATCTTGAATGACGATGTCAGAAGCGAAGAAATCCATAGCAAAAACTTTTACATCGAAATAAAAAAGATATATTCCCAAGATGACTCTTGCGATCGACTGAACGCATTTCCAAAATGCTCCGAAAACTTGTCGAAAGCAATCAAGAAATGGACGAAGAATCGACGTGACAAAATTATGAGGAAAGATCGGTTCAAGAAGAATATTGCGTATCGTGTCAATTTTACGATTATTTGCTGATTGTCAGAGCAAAAGGAAAGTTTCCGGAGCATTTTATTATTATTTTAGAAATACACTCGATTGCAGTTTATGAATATCTTCTTGCTTCGACGTAAAAATTTTTGAACGAGTTTCCTCGCTTCTGACGTCATCAACGAGAATCAACCGACGCGATAACGTCATTATCATTAAATTTTACGAGAACGTTCTAACGGGCTCAAGTATTCTTTCGTTCAAATATCTTTGCGAGAATTGCCGGCGTGTCATTCCCTCGCTCGTGACGTCGTAATCAAGATGACGTTAGAAACAAGTACCGGGAGTTCACGTATCACCATGTTGCCCGCGACCTTGAAGTGTCAAGAATTGATATACACGGAGCAGGCTTTATCGGATAGAGAGAGAGAGAGAGAGAGAGAGAGAGAGAGAGGGAGAGGGAGAGGGAGAGGGGGAGGGGGAGGGGAGGGGGAGGGGAGGGGAGGGGGATGGGAGGGGGAGGGGAGGGGGAGAGAGGGAGAGGGAGAGGGAGAGGGAGAGGGAGAGGGGGAGAGAGAGAGAGAGAGAGAGAGAGAGAGAGAGAGAGAGAGAGAGAGAGAGAGAGAGAGAGAGAGAGAGAGAGAGAGAGAGTTAATTGGCGGTTAATGTTCTTCAGGGGATCAGCGTGATATGCGGTGTGCTCGCGGTGAGCCTGGTATTATTGGTGGAGAAGCTGGGCACTATCTTCCAGATAGGTATCAGCATGCGCTCTGTGACCGACGGGCCCTTATTGGGCTTCTTCGTTCTGGGCACGATGGTGCCTTGGGCGAACGCAAAGGGTGCGATGGTGGGCGGCTGTTTCAGTCTGGTCTTCATGTTGTGGTTGGTGGGAGGTGCCGAATGGTATACGATAAATGGCAGACTCAAGCAACCTTCACTGCCTACGTCGATGGACGGTTGCCCGTACCCGCTGAACAAGACTATGTCGATAGCAACGACGATGAATCCCGTCGAAACGGACCCCGACGAGCCTATGGTGCTGTTTCAGATCTCTTTCCTGTATTTTGCTTTGATAGGAGCCACAATCGTCGTTGTGATCGGCACCGTTGCGAGTTACTTCTTCGGTATGAACTTGAAGGCTGTGAATCCTGATCATATATCGCCGATAATGAGGAGGTATGTAGGAGGCGAACGCTGGGGCGAAATTTGGAGACACATTTACACACTCGGGAATCGGCAATCGGTTGCGATTAGGGCTGCTCAATCCCTTTATTTGGAGGGCTCGAAACTCACACTTGATAGGAACGAAAGTACACTAAGAATAAAGGGTGCAATCATACAAAATTGTATTCGATTGTATGTAAATTACATATATAGTAATTCTACACGTATGAAATCATACCTGATTGTAAGCAAATCACATGTAATTGTACACGATCCATAGATGAATTTTGTCTTTACAAGGTCGCGTGTCCAATCGTACGCAATTATACATATGGTTTCCCATATTTCGAAGTTTCTACTGTAATGTGTCGAAAAATATAAAAGATACGGAAAAACATTTCAGACGAAAGTTGTCCAAATTAATTGGTGGAAAAAGATGGTGTAACAACAAATGGGGTTCCCACTTAAGAAAAGTGATATAGTCAGTAAATATCTCGAAAGTGGCGCTATTTATAAGCGAAATGATATCGCTGTCTCATGTTCCCTTTCAAAGCAAACAACCTTTGTCTGAAAAGTTTTTCCGTATCTTTCATATTTTTCAAGATATTCTAGCGGAAACCTTGAAAAATACAGGACACCCTATATATTTACCTGGAGAAGACCCTTTTTCGAATGAATAATGAAGAAAAATGAAATAATCTCAATCCAGGTTGTTCTAATGTACGCATTCGCGCTAACGTAATGTCGCACAGTGTTGTGATACAGGAAATTGATGTTCAAAAAGGTCTACAGCAGTTCTACTTCAGTTTTCAACCGATTGGGACGATTTCTTTTTTAAACGGAGGTGAGAAGATTACCTACAATTCTACCGAGCGATATTTTCGATATCAAGAATCCTAACCAAATCCTTAATAGACAAAGTATGAAATATTGATATATTTTCAGACGATTTTTTCTACACAGAGAGAATGATTTAGTTGAATCTAACAAATGCTTATTTGAAATAGTCCAAATAAATTTTTTGATTGATCGAACAAAGTTTTGTTTGACAAAAACATTTCGTTGAAACTAAGCTGCAACAAAATATTTTTGTTGCGTCAAACAAAACTTTATTCGGTCAATCAAAAAATTTATTAGGACTATTCCAAAGCAGCGTTTGTTACATTCAACTAAATCGTTTTCTCTGTGTACTTCTGTCAACGCGCAAACCATTATAATTACCAAACTATGAATCCATGGATTGTAAATCTTTTACTACTCAACTCGTAAACTCCAAACCTGCAGAGCAAACTGCAAGCTGTAGAAGTAAGAAACAAGGAAATTCGAAGATTCAGACAGTTCAATACGCGGAAAATTTCCCGAGTAGCAACGAATGAAGATTTAATGTATAAACTATTGATTTCTTCGGATTTATATATCGCAAGTGTAAGACATTGGAAGAAAACCAATGTCATAGTTTGGCAATTATAATGGTTTGCACGTTGACAGAAGTAGAAAAAATCATTTTCTGAAAATGTATCAATATTTCATATTTTGTCTATTAAGGATTTGGTTAGGATTCCTGATATTGAAAATATCGCTCGGTAGAATTGCAGGTAATCTTCTCACCTTCATTAAAAAAAAAATTCGTCCCAATCGATTGAAAATTGAATGCTGTAGACTTTTTGAACATCAATTTCCTGTATCACAACACTGTGCGTCGCTCCAATGCAAGGGGTAAAGTTAGTAGTTGTCCTTGAAGGACAAATTTCAAGTTCCAAGATCATTTGCCGAGCATCATCGGGCGGATTTGTTTGACGCTTGAGTGGCGCGATGAAACGCGCATAATAATGTTGCGCAGGTGAGAGAGAGAGAGAGAGAGAGAGAGAGAGAGAGAGAGAGAGAGAGAGAGAGAGAGAGAGAGAGACGCGATCGTAAGAGCGCGTACTCAGCTGCTTACAAACCGGACGAAGATTATAACGATAAGAAAAAGAAGAAACTCATCTCGCTAGTCTCGCGCTCGCGGCCATTCAATTTCGCTTCGTCGTCATTTCGTCGCCGCTAGTTCGCGCAAGCGAGATAACGGTGATTGCTCGCGTTCATTACGCACTCATAAAACACGCTCGCGGGCTTATCACGATCGACGTTTCAGCTCGCGACGTTTCTCCTCTTTGCGCGACTCTCATCTCCCTCGCCGGGTTCTCTCCCCAGGTTTCTCCCTCCACAGAGGTACACGGAGGTCTCATTGAGAGAAACGCCGTTGTCCGACACGTCGGAGCAGCGATCGCTTTAGTCGCTGACGGGCGAGCCAGTGGGATCGACCTTAGGAAGCGCCCCAGGATCAGGACGACCACCCCAATCGAAGCGAGCGAGGAGGAGAGAGACACGGAGACGGAAGAAGGGCGAAAAGGAAGGAAAAACCTGGAGAAGCAGAGTCGCTCTGCGATACTTCAGAGTCATCTAAGAGATATCAGCCGCGACAAAAGAGTATCCCTTATTGATTAATAGACGCATGCGCCGATTACCACGCTGCACACCCGCCGGATCCCGCGGTTGTCCTCGATCTCTCTCAGTATCCCAGTTCCCAGCGTCCGTCACGAGGCATCGACCGCGGGAGTGCCTCGCCTGGCTCCTGCGCTGAAGAAAGCCTGCCTCGAAGAGCGTCCCTCGACCGCACCCCCTGGCGAGTGGAGTCTCCGTCTGGTCGTCCAGAGGTTGTTTCCTCAGCGGACTTTCAACGAATTATCCTGACCGAGGAACCTGGAGATCGCAGGAGGGAAAGGGGACGTTGCAGGAAGGGCGACTCGAAAGAAAGTATAATGCCAAGAGGAGCTCGTTCACGCGCGTCCTGAGGTGAAGACCGTCGGGCAGCATGTGGCGACCTGGACGAGGCCAGCAAGCGTAGAACTGCGGTTTGCGTCCCTGAAGATGCTCGTCAGGGTCGCTCAGGGCTGGGGGCGCGTTCTCGGAGGCGAGACGGCCGCGCCTATACGTGGGGCGAGCGTTCTCGCGGCGAGTGTCGGATGTCCTCGGTGTGAGCTCGCGACGTTCAACAAGTACGGCCGGCGCGGTCGCCGCTCAATCGCGGCGTCTCCACGGAGTCCGGCTGCCTCGCCACGTGCGCACACCAGCGCTCCGAAGTGGCGGCTCGTCCGTTGAGCACGTAGCGTGCGCGACCGAGTGTCAAGTGCCGCGGTGCCGGAGACTCGGTCGATGCGGGACGCTCTCAGGCCCGCGGCACTAGGTCGTCATCGTCGTCGTGAGAGAACAGTGAAACCCCCAAGTGTCAGCGGCATGAGACCCGAAGAGGAAGTCGACGTCTCTCCGGAGGAGACGAGAACCGAGCGGACCTGGTCGAGCGGTGATGAATCGATTGGCCGCCAAGAGACGGCAAGCTTTCGGGTCATCGTCTGCGGGAGTCTCGTCGGGAACTCTACTGCCGGTACCTGAAGAACGCAGATCCCGACGGAGCGCGCGCTGCTGGACGGTCGTCCGCGGGGCAGAGGTAAATGAAGCGCGAGAACTCGCCCGGTCGTCGTCGTCCGGGTAGACCCAGCCCAGAGGAAGGCGAGCACGGCCGGAGGAGGCCCAGGTGGTCTTCGTCGTTGCTTGATCGGCCGACGGGCGGCGACACGGCTGGCATGTCGAGGCACCGCAGCCGTGCATCCCGTGCCTCGCCTTTAATAATAGATAAAAAACGTAGGCGCCCGTGCCGGAAAAAGAACAGAAACCGAGAGGGCATTCGGGGAGGGAGCCTCGGCCGGTGTTGAGGAGCGACCTCGGGCCGCCGGAGCCGCGTAGTCGTCGTGCTCTCCGGGATCCTCGATTGCAGTCGCGCGGCGACGGAGCGAGGCGCCTTCGCCGACGATGAAGAGTGCGGAGTGCCTAGTGCCAAGGAGGAGGACCGAACTTCGACCTTGAGGACGTTACTGAGCACCGGGGGAGTTTCCAGTTTCTCATCGCCGGCGTCAGAGTTTTTCGCCGCTGATTGACTCGCGGCTTCTTCCTCCGCTGCTGCCGCTTCCTCTTCTTCTTCGCGCATCGCGGGGTGCAAGTCGCGTCGGTGGACGGTCGCTCAGTGCCGAGTAATCGCGGTAATAATATCCGGCGATGGCCGGCTCTTCCGTTCCGATCGGCTGAGAAAGTTATATCCCGCTTGGGTCTCTCTCTCTCTCTCTCTCTCTCTCTCTCTCTCTCTCTCTCTCTCTCTCTCTCTCTCTCTCTCTCTCCTCTCTCTCCTCTCTCTCTCTCTCCTCTCTCTCTCTCTCCTCTCCTCTCTCTCTTTCTCTCTCTCTCTCTCTCTCTCTCTCTCTCTCTCTCTCTCTCTCTCTCTCTCCCCCTTTCACTCTCTGTCTCTCGCTCTCTGTTTCTCTTGGGAACAGCACACTTGGCTCGCAGGTGCGATGAGAGCGCAAGCGGCGTCAGGTACTTCCCGGAAATGACGTCGCCGATGCAGAGGAGCTTGCTGGGGCTAACGGTGCTGATGGTCGTAGGCCTGACGGTCTTCCTGTTGAGCAAACGGCTCGGCCTGGAGAGCCGTAGGAGGGACGGCCTGCTCCTCGACATGATCGCGAATATCAGCGGCAACCTGGACAGGCTGGACAACGGCTTCGACGGGATCTCCGCGCAGACCGGGGTCGCGCGGAACCGTCTGCGGCAGCTGGTCGCGCTGCACCGCGAGAACCTCTTCGTGTGCGCGGCGCTGAGGAGCGAGAAGCAACGGAGCCGGGCGTCCGGCAGGAGGCCGGCGCGGCGAAGACGGCGACGGCGCTTCGTAGTGACATGATGATCGGTAACCGGTTCGATCCGCAGAGACCGGTTCGGCTCTCGCGAGCGGCTTTCGCCGGGTAGTGTTGGATCGATGCGCCAAGTCCAGTGTCGACTTCGTGCTCTTCCTTCACTTCAAGCCGATTGTCCTTCCGGCCGCTTCCAAGTCGTCTGCTCCACCTTGCCGTTGCTCTCGTCTGGGTGCCTCGCGGCAGCCCGTGGCTTGTAAATTGCAGTTCATTGCATTGCAGCTGGCTCACTCATTTTCGAAATTCGTTGCCTTGTCGACAAGAATGTTTTCTACTTTCTTCCTCGATACGGTTATTTTTTTCCGGACTTGGAAAATGACGAGTCACTGCTTTAAGTTACTCCTCCCACCAACGACTCGATAACAAACTTTTGTTCCTTTTTTTTTATTCATGATGGTTGGGATAACGCAGTCGCGCGCTTTGCTAATGAATACTTCGTCATTACTTTTACGGTTGCTTCGCAGACGTAGAATGTGAAATGAAGAAGTGAAGCAGTGAAGCGCGTTCTAAAAGAAAGGTTTTGGAAACGCACGTTATTTTTTGAACAACAAGAATGGGATGCTTTCCAAAAGTAATTTTATACATAGGGTGTATAAAAAGTAGCGGAACGGCGAAACATCTCGAAAACTAAGCATCTTAGAAAAAAATGTTTCAGACAAAGGTTATACAATTTTAAGGGGGGCATAAAACAACTGTATCATTTTGTTTACAGATGGCGCCACTTTCGAGATATTCACTGATCATTACTTTTCTTAAACAGAAATCCCAATTTTTTATTATATCGTCTCTTTCGACCAATTAATTTGGACAACTTTTGTCTGAAACATTCTTTTCCAAAATGCTTGGTTTTCCAAAATGCTAGTTTTCGAGATATTTCGCCGTCCCGGCGTCCCGGCGAAATACTTCTTATACACCCTGTATATATGACGATTGAAATTGTGGAAAATGATAGATGAGGAGCTGTAATTAATTATAGCTGTAAGAGCCAAAGGAGAATCGCAAAGTATTTGGACGAGCTGCGAAGTCGAGCGACTGAAAGACAGCCAAGGGCAGATTTCCAGCGAACGGAAAGACGATCGGTTTTTCGGTGCGGGCACGATGTAAACCAAGCGTATCGATCTAACAAATTGGCAAGCAAGAGAAATTAATTAAGCAAGAGAAATTCCGTACTTGGTAAGACAATCATCCGAATAAACAAATCGAATTTTTGCTGCGAGAATGCACGTAGCGTGGAGTACATATCGTAGATGATAGATTTTATCTATTTTGAGCGACTAAGCCCCGGTTCTACGATCTACTTGAAACGAAATTTAACTCGTTAAACCCAGTTCAAAGGAAACGTTGCGTTCCATAATCGCCATAAACTTCGGTTACCGTCTATTTTCTGTAGTTAAAGTTAAACGCCGAGTTTTGGGTGTCTAATGAACACAAACGAAATTTGATACTGCATCGCCACCAATTTTCCAAGTCAAGACTCATACAGAGCAGAAAGTTGCAGCAACATTGCAATAATGTTGCTGCAACTTTTATGCTGGATAGGGATATCTATCGCCCAGCTTTTTAGAATTATGTTGGTACAACATCGCAATTTATCGAGAGTCGAAAGATGATAAGAAAACAATCTATACAAGAAGTGAGGAACTAAATTTGTTGAAAGATATGGTTTTAAAGTACACATCATCTTCATTTGAGGATGAAGATTTTGATAATTTAAGTATCAACACAGGAAATTTTAAAAAAACGACCATCGTAGAAGAACTCGATCACATCGATTTTCACGAGCGATTTATCCAGAGAATCTCTTACTGTAATGCCAGCAGGAATCTTGTTCTCGTCCTTACGTTCTACCTCTCGTCCTACTTTCGACCATTTATTATTGACCAGTTACAATCTATGTTTGACAGGAAGAAAAAGTCCTTGGGACTTTTTTCGTGCAGACTATACCCATACAGCACACAAAGTTGAAAAAACGTTGCTGCAACGTTGTAACAATATTGCTGCAACTTTTATGCTATATAAATAGGTTTATATAAACTATACGATTGCTGCAAGTTTTATGCTATATAAATAGGTTTATATAAACTATACGATTATAAATACTATGTGGAACGCAACGCAAGTTTAACTATGACGTTAATAAATGTAATAACCGTTCAGTTGAGCTTGGTTTAAACTCAAATTTGTAGAACCGGGCCTAAGGGAGGAACAGAGTAAGTCGATCATTGTGGAAAACTAGATGTTCAAGGTGGGGGCCAATTAACAATATCATAGAGACGCTTTATTCGAGAAGCAGTACAGTTACCGAGTCGAGTTGCGGGGCAGGAGGGGGGGGGGATTAGGACGCGGCAGGGGTTGAAGGAGATTGTCAATGCCGCGCCGAATAATAATCGTACGGTGGTCGCATATTTCGGGGGCAGCGAAGGGGGGATCGATTGTCCGTAAAATCGCCGAATGTGATATTTCGAGTGTCGAGCGTCTCGTGTTTGAGCGATCGAGCGTCTGGTGTTGCGTTTTCGTTGCAGGACGTGTTGTCGCAAGATGATACCCTTTCACGATTAACGTACCGTCAGTAAACATTAGCAATATCGGTGGACACGCATGGTCTCGCGGAAAAAATGGCGTCGAAGCGCGAAAAGTGCGGCCGTTTCCTGGCGAGAGTCCTGACGACAAAAAGCCAATACAACAGAAGTTGCAGCATTGTTGTTGCAACATTGCAGCAATGTTGCTGCAACTTCTGTGCTATATGGGAAAGTCTCTCCGAATACCGATCCGAGCGCAAAGACGAGGTTATAAATAATTACATACCAATTGTGCAAAACTGTGTGTGATCTAGTAGGCACACAGAGATAACGATTTAGTTGAATTTAACAAATGCTTATTTAAAATAGTCCAAATAAATTTTTTGATTGATCCAACGAAGTTTTGTTTGACGCAACAAAAATATTTTGCTGCAGCTTAGTTCCAACGAAATGTTTTTGTTGCGTCAAACAAAATTTTGTTCGATCAATCAAAAAATTTATTTTGACTATTCCGAATAAGCATTTATTAGATTCAACTAAATCGTTCTCTCTGTGCAATAAGTCGCGACTAATCGTGATTCATGACGATGAGGAAGAAGGAATTTGATCGCAAGGTACCTGGGCTAACAAAGAAGAGATTTCTTGGCCGGTTTGTAATTTTATATGCGAAATTATATATAATCACACACGAGCTAATGGCTCTCCTTGAAGCGATCGCACACTTGGGAAAAGTTGCATTTCGGGAGCCGCGTCGGTATTCGAGTTTCGGTATCGCGGCTCTTCAGGAAGTTCTTCCGGTCGGCCGAATTTCAAGACCTCCATTTTCCGGGACAATGCGCATCCACCACGATAACCGTTAAATGAATGTACATATGTGTCAGGTGTTCACGCCATATATACTTCGCGCCCGAGTCCTTTATATAGAATGATGTATAGGTCGTCTCAGGTTTGCGGGAAATTATTCGTTCATTGACTTCTCCGAGACTGTCCGAGAGGATCGGATAACGGCGATCTTGCGGCAAAGGGCGAATTTCTCTTCTTGCATTAAAAATGTCGCCGAGGATGCATAACAAGCACGCGCGGTATTTTTATCGGGAGGAGAATCTATTTCGGATTTGTCGTCGCGCGTCGGCTATTCTCGTGATGTTTGTTCGCGTCAGATCTAGGACGTCCTGGTATTTGCCGAGAAATTTGACAGATTGATATGCAAAAGCGACTTAGAGCGACACACGCGTGCGGTATACTGTATACGTGTATATACACGCTCGCGTATCACGAGACAGAGATGGACATGCATTGTCCTGGAAAAGATGGATGGAAGTGGGGAAACGTGACGCGCAATTTCCTGGATAGTCACGATGCCGAAATCCGAGACTATCTTCCGGAATACAATCTGACCAAAGTGTCTCGTTGTACAGCCGAGTGAATTATCATCTATTCATGTAGACACAGCGAGAGCGCACGGAAAACCGAGTGCGAGGGGAATCTTTATACAGGGTGTACCAGAAACGTGGGCACTCTGGATTAATTTGAAGGAATGACGTTTTTGAAAAAATAAATGTCAAATACAAAAGTTTTAGGATTTGGAAATAGGCATCTAATGGTGAACTTGAACCTGACTTAGGAATCGAATTTAGAGGTCAAATCAAGGTCAACTTGGTTTTTATAAACGAAAACTCTCATTTTGTAATATTTTATGAAGGTGAAGGTAGAGATGAAAACAAATATTTTTTAATTCTTTTTATAAAATGCATTTTTTTTTATAAAATTTGTTCTATTGTTTTATTTATTTGTTTTATTTTCTTGTTAGTTGCAGAAACTCAATATTGTTGGAAATTTATTTTTGTTTGCACAAATATTTATATAAAATAATATAAATTACTATAAACAATTAAGCTTGTTTAGAAAAAAATTGCTTCTGTCTTTATTATTATTAGATATTTAAAAATTAAATAATAAAACATTAAGTATTCTAAATTATTTTTGAATCATGTGTGGAAATATCATGAAACATCCGATCATGAAATTATCTGACTTTGATTATCCCGAAAAATTTGCATTTTATAAAAAAAGAAAAAAATTTTTTTTAAATTATTTTTACATAAAGCAATATAAACTAGGAGTTTCCATTTACGATTTTAAAGATGATCGTGATTTGATCCCTAAGTCAGATTCAAATTCGCCACTAGATGCTCATTTCCTTCATTCTTCGTGTCTTTTTAAGCTAACCCAGGGTACTCATTTTTCTGGTAAACCCTATATATTGTACACAGGGCTCGTGTGAACTTTATTTCTGCGTAACTGCATGCATAATCATATATAATTGCACGTGGAAAAACGTAGTTGAATGAAGAAAAAAATATGGCAGTTACTTTAAGTCGTTCAAGCACAGTCGCTGTAATAATTGTACAAACTTAATGTATAATTATTTATATATAACGTCGTTATTTATATATAATTATTTATATATATAACGTTTATATATACATATATATATATATTAAATATATTTTCTTCGAGAGTAGATTTTGACAGACCTGCGTGTGTGTGTACCGTCTTCGGTTCTCCCTTAGATCGCA